AAAAAAACCAACAACAACAACAAACAAAACACATCAACAACAACAAACAAAAAGCAAAAACAAACAAACAACAAACAACAACAACAAATCACAGGTAGTCTGACCAAAACGGGTGCCAAAATATCTAAGGGGTCGGGAACTAGTAGGCACTACACTAAAAATATGGATTGAACTAAATTGGCAGATTAAGTTCCACTCTTTCCTCTCCTCTTCGTTCTCATATCAAGCTTTTCTTCTGTGAATTTCCCAACATTTTCATAATTGCTTTTAGAGACAAAACTTTCTTGTCATCTTGTCACACACAACGTTTCGCCATCATTCAGTAAAGTATACTGTTTGCTAATACTACTAGTGAGGTGCGATAGTACAGAGCCGAGCTTACTTATCAGTCTGTAAATCTCTGAATAGCGGTGTAGGGGTCGAAATCTCCGGCGAAACCGTAAATGCTTCGCGCTGCCATACGACTGTTCAGCATTCGATGTGTGGAAGTATGGTCCTTTTTCAATGATTGAAAAAGTGAAAATCCCAAAATCATGTTTCTAAAGCATGTATCTATTATGCCTATATCTACAGAATAGACTTCTTCAATACTCCAAGTTTGTCCTCTTTTAGCCAGTTTTGTAACGGTAAAAACGATGTAATTTTTGTACAGGTTGGCAAAACCGATTTCGGCAAGCGTGCAGAAAACGCGCGCTTCAGTGGCGGAAAACTACCATTCCAAAAGCACTGGAGATAGATCGATTTAATATGAATCGGTATCGTTCACAATAATAGCTAGATYAGTTTAGTTAAAATCGATCGAAAATCGCCTTTCGAGCCGCTCTAATTTAGATCACTTGTGATCGATCTAAACTTAAGTGTAAACATGTGCATTATAAATCGTGTGCGGACAAATCGAATCGAACTAAATGACCCTTGTGTGACTACGCTGTTTGATTGACTGATTTAGAAAATAGGTAAACACTTGCAATATCACAGTTTGTAAATGGAAGCGGAATTTCTCTGTCCAGAATTGAAAGTGCGCGCATAGCAGCAGAAGTAAACAATATAAAGTTGATTAAAATTAGCAAGTGAAAAGCAGAAATGCAGGTCATTGCATGCATGATTAATCCTCGAGATAAAGGTCATTTGCCAATAAATTCCATGTAGGAAAATAAATAAATAAATAAATAAATAAATAAATAAATAAATAAATAAATAAATAAATAAATAAATAAATAAATAAAATGCTAGAAGGTAAATCCCACTACTATATCGATTACAAATCCAGTATTGAAAACATGATACATTTACTCTACTTTCCTAAGTTCAAAACGAGATTGTCAAACTCATATGTATGGCCATAATAATGCTGTACATAAAATAGTGGACTTGATGAGCTTAGGAATTAAATGCGCAGAAAGAAAAGATTCTGTTGACTTGGTGACAGCAATGTTATCAAATCAAAAAGATAAGCGTTCATTAGCAATATCGTTTTGAAATTTTGGGAAGCAGAAGTGGTTAAGACTTGGGCGGATAACTGAAATTATTGCGTTTGGTAGGTAGGGGGGATAGGGATGGGGGTTTTCGATGAGCAAATTCATTAAAAAGAATACAATATACACTGAAAGTAGATTTATCCTTGTGGAAATGTTTTCCCCCATAAAATATTTTAAATAAGCATGCATAATCCATGTGTAATGTGTTCAATGTGCAGTAGAACATGTACAGCCTCCAGCAATTTGCTTACAGAGTCGATAACACAAATACCTTGGACTTGATAGAACTCTCCAGATCTTCAAATAGTTGAGACTTTGGCGAAAAGAGCAATTTATGGAACTGTTTACCCATTAATCGGATCCACAGCACGTAGGTTTTTTCTTATAAAATTAAAAAAAAAAACAATTAAAAAATTCACTAAATAAAAACTATTACTAGATAATATGTAACCTATAGTTACTTGAAGACAAAGAAAGGCATATCATTTCCTTCAGGGTCTTAACGAGGTATATTCATTTTGTTCATAAATAAATTCTGAATTTGATATCTACTATCTAAATATCGTTTTCACTTCGTCCAGTAGTATTTTTTAATGCAAAACTTTAATACCTGCTCTCAAGCCAGGACATACCTTGCACCATGTAAAGTATGGTAATTATGAAGTGAGTAGCTTGCAAGGATACCTTAAAACATTGACCCCCTCAAACTTAGTGACCGTTTAGTATCCCACAGACCAAAATACTGCCTAATGTGTCACAACAAAAAATAAGGGTTTATTTTGATAATATGTCCTCAAAGGCAGCGAGATCTGGTACCCCCACCAAACCTTATCATCACCATCCTGTCTTTTCGATTAAAACAGGAACTCATGAGGCCCTTAATCTTTTCAAAGGTGACGAATAGAATTTGCCTCAAATTGTGACTAGTTGATTATCGTGGCTTTATATATGGATGGGATTTATTGCAATTTATGTTGTAAAATTTTAAATGACTTACTTATAACACAGCCGTACAATTCCATTCTCAAACCAACTTTATCTTGATTGCACTCAATTGGAATCAGTAGTATGGATTTGACTTCTTTTGGTTGTGGAATCCTGTTGTACACGATAGTATTGGCATCACTGTTTCCTGTGAACTGTGTAGAGGAAAGATGTATTTTATAATACTCTATCACACATTCAAATACAATAGCTAGTTAATATCTTAATGTTCGAGGCCCAAGTTCAATCATTTAAATAAAGGGTTAGGTTTTTGTTTGAGACTATGCTGCGGTCAAACATTTTTTTTCGATTCTTAGCTTTGTCTGTCCGATAATTGTAAAACATTTCCATTTTGCCATCTTTCAAGATCTTAAGATTTTTTCCTGCTGCTTAAAACAAATTGTTTGTTGCCGCTATGAATTACTAGTTTACTTYTAATTTTAAGGTGACTCGGTAATTTTGTATAAAGTTACCTTATAGGGGGGTTTGTACAATGCATACTGCTCATCTGTAGAACTACTCTTCTTCCAGTATAATGAAAAGCTTTTGACCCAGTCTTTTCTTGATTCGTCGCCATACCCTTGCGTGGCGATGGCCGTTACCACGGTTTTGGTATTAAAGGTAACAGCCACATACCCACTGGTCTTGGAATGGCCACATGTATTGTCGTCACTGAGGTACCCTTGAGGATAATCTGTTTTGTTCAGTCTGGCGTTTGTAGCCGCGGTTTCAGGTTTCCAATACGAGCCTTGGTTTATCTGATTTACGGAAATTTTATCACTTTGCATTCCTAGTGGTTCGTTGCAAGTTTCTAAAAAAAAGTATATAAAGCTAAAGGCGCTATCAAACGGAGCAAATTTCTCAGCAGCTTGTCTCGCAACGGCGAGAGCATTGCAGCGCGTAATAATAATAATAATGTTTTATTGAGCGCCAATTCCCAGCGGTTCAACAGCGCTTTACAAAATACAAAAAATATTCATTATAGATAAATAGAAAATAAGATGATAATTAAAAGAATATAATAAAACAGTTTAACAATACTAATTTTAAAATAATTTAACAATATTTCAATACCATATATTAATGTATCAATAATGTTATATAAGCAACTTTCAGTAACTTTTAATTAAAATCAAAATCAAAATTAAGATTAAGATTAAGATTAACATTAAGGGCATTTAAACATTATAGTCACATCATAGACAAAATATAAATACTGGTTAAAATAAATCTATTTATTAAAAAGAAATTAATAAAAAGCCTGCTTAAAGAGCCATGTCTTTGTGTCCCTTTTAAACTGTGTAACCTACAGCGCAATTTGAAAAATATTGCACTGAGACAAGTTTTTGCTGCAATTGTTGCAAAAAGCTGTAGAATCCGTTTCTACTTTTGCGAGGCAAGTTCCAGAGGAAAATTGGTCCTTGCCGTAATCTGGCCTTATAAAGCCTACGTATCTCGCCAAAACATTAATAGAAATTAAGTGAGACTTTCTTTCTAATGAATAGCCAAGAGGATTGAAAAAACAATCACTATATTTCATTTCATTGACTACACATTAAGAGAGAATTCTTTTCGTATTCAAGCAGTGAGCGCCATAAAATATTTTCTTGAAGAAAGGCTGGTGTACAAGGCTAAAATCTTGTTATTTAGAAAGTTTAACTGTTAAGTGTTAACCCAAAGCAAAAATTTTATTCGAAAATATAAGGTTTAGGCCTTCATTTGCTTATTTCCCATACATTTTCTATAAAAAAAGCCTGACAAAGCAACATTCTAAAACAAATGCAACAAAACATCTTTGTATGATTGAAAATACCGCTTCAAACAGGCATTTTATCATAGTACATCAGTTTCTGACTGTTTAAAAAAGGTTTTGAGTGTTAACCCAAAACTAAACTGAATTGCAATCAAAACTCATACGCGGAAAGTCTAGTTTTTGGCGCTTTTTGCCATTATTGCTCATGATTGAAAATTTTTTCTCTTAATGGATATGTAAGCACTTACCTATAGGACTAGATGGAATGAATGATTTTGAGTCTCTTAATGTAGTTGGTAAAGTCGGCAAGAGGCTTGCGCTTATCAAGCTTGCGGCATAACTTCGTGTGCTGTCACATGAGGACATCAAAACTATCGTCAAGGTAAAGAGCATGATTCCTTCAGTTTTCATCCTGTTGAGTAAAGGCAATACAATTATTTAGCTATGTTATTAATAATGGTAATTGAACTGAGTGGAGTGCAATTTGGTCTGAAATCAAACGCGCGATTACAAAATCGCACGACCGCGTAGCGGGAGTGCGATTTGAAATTGCAAGTTTGATATATCCATTTTGAAATCTTTTTTTGAAAAAGACATTTTTTTTAGTTAAACACATGACTTACAATCTACAAGCAGTCGATGCAAACATGCTATCAAGAGAACTTGTGTAAGCTTTAGTACTGATCGAGCAATGATCCTTATTTTGAAAACCAACACTTTCAATCCCAAACTAAAATGAATTTATATACATGTAGGACCAAATAGCATTACACGCATCATTAAGAATCGACGCAGTAAGAAGAATCTCTGCTTTGAAAATAAAGCTTGAGTACTTTGCGTAGAAGTTTATCTTAGTAATTAAACGGAACTATTCTTAAAAACTTGATTATCGAATTTACTTACATTAAATAGCAAGACAATCCCGCCCAAAAGGGTTGTTATGAACTGGCTGTCTTACATACAGCCAATGCTCATTCACTGCTTTTATTTTACGATTTCTGTTCAACATGTTAAGATCACACTGTTGCCGAGAAAACAGCAAAAATTAAAGTTGGTTTAGTCCTTCGGTTGTCCTTAAGAAGCCACGTAGCTGAGCAAAAATCTTCTTCTTAAGAAAAACTTCTTTTAAGAAGTGTAAGAAGTGTAAGACTGTATTTTCGATGTGTTTTATGGTTTAAAGACCCATTACCACTTACCGTAATGCACCGCGATTTGTTTATTTTGAAATGTGTGTGACCAATGAACGAGCAGGCGCAAATTCGCTATTCGTTGCCTTGGTAAAACCCATAGTAGATTTCTTTTCTTTCCAAAGATGATATGTGGAATTTCTAAGCCACACTTTTACAATTTTTTCGTTYCTTGGCGGCTGGCCTCTCTTCGTATGTTTTCGTGCAGTCATATCTCTTGAAGTCGAATCTCAAAGTTCTGAGTAAACACTTAAGGTGGAACCAAACTAATTCAGAGCGATTTTTGGACAATTTTATTCTCGCTCCCTTCGCAAAACTATTACGTCAATTTAATTGTATTTTTCATATAATGTGCCCTGGATTATCCTAGATTCTAACAGTGTATTCAATTTAAGTTTTTTTWAATGTTTAGCCCATTACGGCCGAAAATCAAACAGTGCTATTTTTAGCTTTTGGCTTTTTTCTCCTCATCCTCAGGTACAATTTTTCTAAAAATTTCAGAATCTTATCATCTAGTACTGCTGCAGCCTGTGTATAAATTTGGATGGAAAGTCCTCTCTTGTGATTGGTTCATATCAGGTGATGCGCAAAATCGTGCAATTTATATTAGAGCTCAAAATAGTGCAATTTAGGCTGAAATCACTGCTGCAGGGAACCAATCGAATTGCAGTATTTGCTAGTGATTTTAAAATGGATATAATAAAGGCGAAAATCCATTCGTGTAGCAAAGGAAATAATCAATATCAAAAAGTGTAGGCGGAGCCTTCGGTTTGCCGATTGGTCTCAATCAAACAGCTAGGTCCCTTTGATCTCCTAAATTGTCTGCTGCACGAGTCAAAAGTCCTTGATAATCCTTAATTTGTACCTATATTCTTGCTCTTGTTTCTAATAAAAATTTTATTAAGAGAAATATGTTTAGCCAAGTAAAAGCCAATTACGAAATAGCTTAGATTAATTTGATTTTTCTTCGTCTGTCTTGTAGTATTACTCACAAAGTGCGTGGAAACTAATAGAGATTTCACCTGTAATTTATATTTCAAAGAATTTTAAGAATCGACAATACCGCTGCTACATGACACTTTGAAAAATAGAATAATAAAGAGACAACGTTAAAACCAAGCTCCATGCTTTTTCCCAACTTGGTTCTAAATAAGAATTAAATTATATGCTCAAAGAGGTATTTGTTTATATTAATATTGACTTTAAAAAAGTCATTCACCTGTCTGTTTAATTTGACTCGTTAACAGTGCTAGAGTTATAATCAAAATATTAAAATCAATTAGGAATTTCTAATAAAAATTTCGAAATTATGGTCTGATCTTTAAAAAAATCCTTTCTCCTTTCTTTTTCCTATTTTATTTTTCTCTTTGTGTGTGCGTGTGTGTTTCATGTTTTTGTCGAACGGTGTATAAACTCAAGAAAACCAGACGTAATAACGCAGTCAAAGGAAAACACATCATGTCAACAAAAGTCTTCGTCTTTGAATAAATAATCGTTGCCATTTACTTGATCAGTGCGATATATTCAAACCTGTCATACCCATGAAAGGGAATCGTCCATACATTGAAAAGTTAAGAAATATACTTACTTGAATTGGATATAGCAGCGCTTGAATTGTATTTTATGGTCCAAGTTTTACATGGATGCTGAAAGAGAGGCAAAAAACCTTTTTGGTGTATCTAGTAAAATAAGAGCAATTTGTATAATTAATGTCTTGGAGAATGGTCTTAAGGGAGACACCAATTAACCACTTTAAATATTTAGTTGCCTTAGTGTCGTTAATTTATTGTTACTAATRATTTTCGGTAAGACATGTCAGAAAAAATAAATGAAAATAAAAATAAATGAATTGATAAAACTTTCTTTACTCTAAATCTGTCTGTTTTGATTTTAAGCCAAAAAAAAAAAAAAAAAAAAAAGAGTTGAGATCAAAGCTTTATGGGGTATATTTAAATATTCACAGCATCACATACATAATCACATGTGAGTCATAATTCTCCTGATCCACTACAAATAAGTTCCCAGAGAATTGCCAGTTCAAACTCCCTTCTCTTGAGAAACTGATGGTTCCGATTTTGAAAACCAAGACTGTCCTGCTGATTTAACTTTAATGAGGCGATGAGTAAAAAAGCCTTTGCTCATTCTAGAAAACGCTTTTAATCCTTTCATTGTCTCAACCTTGCACACGAAAACCGCTGATATAGAGTGGTTATAGCAACTTTTAGAATAATATCGAAAACATCGCACTATCATCAACTGCAACTGATCTCGTCTTGGGGTTTCATGCCATTTTAGGTTTAAATTAAAAAATTAATATTTAATTATTTTAAGTTAAATAAAATTTGCGTAGCTTAGGAATTGTTCGAAATGCAATTGAAAGAAGAACTCTTTATTTTTCCCCCTAAATACCGGCAGCTGGTATTTAAAAATAAACATGTTTATAGATATGAGCAAATAGAATAAGAAGTCTTCAAAGCTTGCTAAACGTGATTTCAACTGAGAGAAGTAAAGTAGCAATAAAAAAAATTGATTTTAATTTCTTCAGTTTGATCGCTTGACTCTGTTCCAACTTGTAAGTAAAATAACTCTAAACCAATAAAATGCCTTTAGCTCAGTTTGTATATCTGAAAACAAATACAACAATATCACGATACCAGACCGTTTGCTTATTCCACCTCACCTTCATCTTAGTCGTTAACAAATGTGCGAAAACCAACTACTAAACTTATTTGATCTTACAATATTGACCAGCAGAGTAAAATCTAAAAATATTGATGTTTTGGGATACGAAAAAAATATCGGATAATATCAATATCGCGTGTTAATCAAAAAAATAAAATAAAAAGGCCAGTGTTTCTAGCCGGAAACAAGAGTATATTTCTGTTAGTGTTTGCTTGCAGATGGCTATATAACAGTTATAATGCACATACTAAGAGGCACATACATTATCTATAGATAGAACGTCTCTCTAAAAAGCTACATAGGTTATCAGAACCTTTCTCTCCGGCTAAGCATCTGTAGAGAAATCCGTATTCGAAGAGCTAGGTTTTAGTCCAATCTTCTAAACGATCATGAGCTAAGCTGAAATTACACTGAAAATGCCCAAGATCATGCTTACGGAAGATAAATTAATAATAACCTAAATATTCTTGAAGTTTCTAGGTCTGATTCGCAATATACTCTTTTTCTCAGAATTAATACTTAATACATATCTAGCTTCAGTTTTCTTATTCACGCATACGTACCAGTTTAGTGATTCGTCATAGTAAACACTACCAACAGGAAAGTTACCGACCTGCTCAACCTTGCTCATACGTAGAGCTTCACATTTTCATAAAGCCAAGTCTTTAACGTTAATTGCTGGCTGTTCGTTGCTAAGCATTTTAAAGCAAACAGTCACGAATAGAGTAAAATAGGAATTATTTTATTATATAAGAATATATTTAATGTATCAAACTGCTGCTTATTGTAACGAAGATATAGGCAAACGTCGAGAATAAGCGGCTACTCTGATTGAACAAAATATCTATAGTTCGAACAAAAATATTGGTAAAAGCAAAAATTCTCATAAGAAGAAAGTCTTGCCTACTTTCACTTAAGCGACAACTCATACAACACTAAGACAATAGTTGTAGCGAAACTATGACATAAAGAAAGTTTTGCAATAACTTACGTAAGCCTTACGTCAGTACTTGTTTAATTTGGAAAGTTAATGTATAATTTAGGCACTGCCTAAAACCGACTTTGCTAGTGATATCTTTTTCGTCGCCTACTAAAGTCAGAAGAAAAAGAAAATTGGTAATCCATCGAGTTGATTTTCGAAGGCTTAAAACCGGGAATACGTCAGGTCCGTCTATACGTCCGTAAGTGTAATACACAACAGAGTTCCCACTTGGCTATGTATAAGTGGAGTGGGTGGGGAAAAAGTTTCCATTTTCCAAGTACGGTCGCAAATCTTCCTTTTATAGTAGATATTTAATATAGTATATTGAAAATAAGCTTTTATTCATGTAAGTTAAACTCAGCCAAGACTCTTTAAACGAACTACTTTTTTTATCTTTTAATTCGAAGCCATAAGGGGATCTAGCACACTGAAATACTGCTCTACCTCGTTTACAAGAAAATCGATATTTCAAGCCTTCAAAGCAAAAAACAAACAAACAAACAAACAAACAAAAATACAAAAAAAAAAAATCAAAACAAAAAACAAAAAAACAAAACAAAACAAAACAAACAAAAAAAAAGCAACAAAAAAACAAAAATAAAAGAAATCATTACCCGATTCGAAGACACATGACACATGACTAACAATTATTTCTAGTGTAGAATGTTTATTGTTCATACTGTTGTTGTTGGCCTTTAATGTGCACATCGGGAACCTTGCCGTCAACGACCGGATGGACATGACGTACCTCCTATGTAGTGAAAGCAGCTTCACCCTCTTTTAAAGCGAAAACGTCCCGGTTAATCCAGTGCAGCATCTTGTTACAGTCCATAAGGCAGGGACGTATCGATGTCTTAATAATTACRACGGGGAGATACTGACTGACGCCTACGCGTTGCATCTTTAGAGTTTCCCCTCACCCTCGCTACGCCACTGACGCAATTTAAAGCTGATATCATTAAATTTATTGGCATTCATTGACGTTCAATGATGTGATCGATATATTAAAAAAAAAAGTTCTTTTCAACTCGAAAAATTTTTGTAAAAGCAGAAAAGCTTTTTAATTACATCCCCCCCCCCCCCCCCAGAAAATGTCGTTTAAAAATGCATGGAAAATAGACATTCGTATTGAACACCTGAGCGTTGAGTATGTGCAATAAAAAAAAGAAAAACAAAAAGTGGCAGGGAAAGATCCTATAGCAACATGAACCATAACGGTAAAGATTGACTCTGTATAAGTAAAACAAATAAAGCTAGACAATAGACGATGTGATCAATTCTTTCCTATACCATACTGGAAACATTCTATTGATGCATGGCTCTTATAAGCAAACGAGATATCTCGGTGAGTATGATAAATAACAGATGATTTGCATTAATGGGTGTTGCTAGGCACATGTCTCAGTCCCTCATGACAAACATTACCTTATCAGTTTTTGAGCGCTATTGCTTAGAAGAATTGCCATCTATGAATCAAAAACAGCCAGTAGTTTGTCTTAAGAATAATTATAGTTACTTATATACTCGAAGAGAATTATTGATATAGAGATTAAAATAAGCAAAGTCAAAATAAGTAAAGTGGAAAATCCAAAGTTTCAATCAAGTCAACTATAGGACCCTTACGACTCATAAATTATTAATGATAATAATTAATGTTCAAGCCATCTTTATTTTCTTTATGTTCTCCAGATAATAGCAAAATACAATCTTGGATTTTTTCTGAAATGAATGTCTATATTTTTGTCACTGCGTCAATCAAATTGAAATGACTGACATTTATTATTGTTACTGCTTTAGTTGATGTATTTTTATTTTCCCTCAAATGAGGCCTAGATTTTATTATTAATTTGCCGTTTGGAGAAGGGTTTCTAATTGTTTTCGCCCTATTTTACGCCTTTCACCACTAGACAAGATGAAATCATAAAACAACATATTAAAAATGTACAATGGCACATGGTGATTAGTTTTTTTTTACCAAACTCTGATGTGCAAACTCATCCTTAGTATGTAATATTTAGAGTTGAATAAAAGATACCGTGCATTTGAAAGAGGACTGTATTTTTCAATTAATGAGTACCCGCTTGGTCTTGAAAAGCTTTACTGTCACAACGGCATATGAGTCAGTGCCCGGCTCTATAATTATAATATTGATTTATTCTTCCAAAATATCTTCAATCGCAAGAATCATTTCTAATGCTTTAACTTTTTTGGATTTTTGGAAAGCAGTTTTCATCATCTTCATTGAGAGGATAACGTATACGTACGATATTAATTGTGCCTGAACAAGAAAGGAAGATATCTTTCTTCCCTGTGTAATAAAATTGATAAGAAGACAAGCTCACTTCGAGAGCATTCTAGAAAATAAATATTAAAGTTTACAAAGAATAAATTGTTGACTTTCATCCATAAAGTATTGTAAAATTAAATCTTTTCTTCTTATCGGATTTTCCTTTTTTTTAATCTTCTTTTTCCTTTCCTTTCTTTTCTTTCTTTCTATCTTTCTTTCCATCTTTCTTTTCATTTCTAATGGCCTTGGGTATTATGGCCGTTTGAATATCAGTTCACATATTTTTTGACTTCTGCAAAAATTGAGTAAAAAATAACTAGGTTTTATGAGTCGAAAGTTACCTTTTGCCTTGACAATTTGACAGTCATGGAGGAAATATGTTGATGCCTCATAGAGCTTTATTATGGAATTGAATATTGAATATATCTATATAGTCTATATATATTACTGTCATTTATTCTAGAAAGTGTTCACAAACACCCTGAATTCTTGAAGAACCAATGTTATGATAGTAAACAAAATTATGAAACCTTGTCTTAACAGGTGGTTAATGGCATATTGTATTGTATGCATGCTTTGAGCGCAATACTTGACTTAACAATTATTCTCATATCAAAGTATTTCCTATATTTKCATTGTACTTTTCGCTAGCGCTGATATAAGTTAGATTATGTTCAGTCAGGAGAATAAGTGCC